TCAGCGTCTCCCATCTCTTCTTCAAAGTTTCATAACCAAAATGGAAGATCTCTTCGCCTCCATCACCAACCACTACTTTGAGCAACTGTAGACCATAAAGTTGTGTGGTCCTAGAAACTCCCATACTACTTAAAGTTACATATCTTTTCATTTTTTCATAAACATTTTTGTCTTTTACCAATGCCCATCTACACCAAAAAGACTACACTTGTGAGTACTTATGACCAATCGAAATCTTTTGATTCATTTATGTTTGTTGTTTACCCGAATCTGGAGCCAGCATGACCTGTAATCTTGGATAGACTAAACAAGCTCAAATCTTCATCAGTTTGATGTGTAATTGGTGAGAAATAAGGCCAGTTATACGCGTAATCATGAATTGTTTTGACATTAGGACCTTCAAGAACAGCTCTTTTCATCTTCCCATCTGGATTGTTCGGAGATGTCACTATCTCTATAACTTGTGTGTTGTTATCATTGCGCTTACTCTTCTTCCACGCAGACGTATCTCCTTCAAACTTGAGACGTGTTGAATCAAAAAACTCTGCTTGCTCCTTGTACAGCTACACACACACACACACAGAGTGATAAAAAACCACCAAGAAGTTTGTTTTGCATAAAGCCAAGAACAGTGGTTTCCTTACAGCGTAAAATGGAACAGAAGCCAATAGTCTTGCAGGTGATGATGATGATGAGTTTGACAAAGATAAAGCATGAGCAGCTGCAGCAAGCAACTGTGTGGATCCAGTTCCAAAGAGTATGAATCTGTTATCAGTAACTGCATTTCCCACTACTTTATGCAGTTTCCTAATGACCTTCTCGAGCTCTTCAGATACAAATGAGCCACCTTTGTAACGATAACTCATCCTGTGCCATCCTGAGACCAGAACCGCGCTTTTCTCTGCATGTCGCATCCAGAAAGGCTCCAAGAACAAAGGGTCTCCTCTTCAAAACCAAACAAAAAACCAAAAAAATATACTCAATCCAAAAGGGAGAGGTCGCAATGATTTGAAAAGGGAGAGATCAAAACACTGTTGCATACGAGTTAGCATCGACAGGACAATCTGAGACATGAACAGAGCAATCTTTGCCTGTGTAGCAGTTGTTGCATTCACAAGGAGGTTTATTGCCGTCAAGAACACCAAGACCGTCCACGTAAGCTCTTCCATGGCCTGAGCATGAAACAGAGGCTGCATCCTCTGCTTCTGCAGCGGCTCTATTGGTCCACCTCGGGCTCCATGTGGTTGAATTATTACAAAGGATATAGACAGTGAATACGAGATTCAAGATGATCGAAAATGTAAGAAACAGCTTCTTCTCCATCATCTTTACTTAATAACCTGCAAAATTTGAAGTTGCAAACTTTTGTGTACTCATATGAAAATATCACAACTAGAGACTCCAGATTACTGGTAACGTATATAAGGTAGGGAATCAATATATTAGAAAAATAATACAATCGAATACATACAAACCAATGCTAAAGATTCTGACAGCTCAGTTTCATTTAGACAAACACAAAACTAAACCTTGTGATGGTAATGTCAGAATCCTTCAGCTCACACGCCAATGATGATAAACTTAATATGGGAATGCGTAATTAGCCAATTATAATCGAAATATTTGACATTTGATAAGGACGATAGGATCATATATTATTGGACGTTGCATCGATAATATACACTTAACACTAGTATTAATGATGACTTAGTTTACTACGCAACCTTATATCGTCAACATAAAGTTGAAGTAACCTAGTTTATTACGCAACCTTATATCGTCAACATAAATTTGAAGTTTAACTTTAAGTAACTATCTTAGCTGATACTAAGAATGTACAGGATTCGACTTAGATAAAACAATTAAAATGTTGATATTTATAGAACAAAAGAGAAAGGCCTCTTATTTGTAGGAAAGAAAGAAAGATAGAATCAAGCAAGATACGTAAAGAATCTAAATACTTGATCTTCACTAAAAATATCAAGAGACAAGATTGATGTACACACAAGTGAAAGAATCTAACTGTTCAAGTCTTGTGGCTCTTTTGGCTCCTCTCTGAAAGTATCTGCTTTGTCTTTTCCAAAACTCCAAAGAAAATTGAACCTCCAATACCAATCCACAATACTCTTGGACCCATTCCCTGTACACAACAGAGAGTCTCAGACTTGTCAACAAAAATTGCACAAACACGAGCAATGTGTGCCAAATAATGTGGAAAGAGCAGAAATTGATTCACCTTCCATAAAGCTGATGATCCTTCTTCTCTTAGTATCGTCTGAATGCAATCCGAAACTCCTTTATACTGATTTCCTGCGCCCTGCAGAAATTAAAAAAAAAAACGAAAAAACATCAGTACTTGTGAAATGAAATGCATCCAAGAAGAACAAATTCTTGTGCTCATTTCGTTTTGACATATACCTGAACCATTAATCTGGTTTTGATTACGTCTAGAGGAGTGGTCAAAACTCCAGTGAAAGCACCTGCAAAGGCACCAAGCATTGCATTCTCTGGATCATTTAGATCTCTTCTTGCCTGTTCAAAAACATAATGGATATCTCACTGTTATTAACCAGCCAAAACGGATGTTTTCTTTCAATTATCAACGTTACAACAGCAAAAAGCTTACAGCTAACTTGTATCCGATCCGTAACTGCTCATATACACAAAACTGGAGCGCGTCAAAAGGCAAGTCTCGCAACAAGAAAGATCCAAAACCCTGCATGTTTGGATAAATAAGATGAAAGCATACAACTAAAACACTAGAATCATAAGTCAAGTAGTGACATATATATACCGCATACATGCCTCCAAAGCCTTCCTTGGCTATGATAAGACGAACAGCTTCAGGGGCCGAAGCAAATTGTCCAGTTTGCATCCGCTGTTTAACAACCTGTTGAAGTTTCCATTAGCCTTTATACAAGAATGTAACCAAAAACAGAGTAAATAAGCAAAGAGAGTAGCTTACTTCGGTTGGAACTCGAACGATAGATGAAACAGCACCTCCTAAAGCACCTGCAGCCTGATTAAGCTTATATAACTAGCTAACACATCGTATATCCTTTTTTTAACAGAGCCATATCAGATTCTAAGTGCCTCTGTCTCAAATCAGTAAGCTCTAAAACTAAATGGTAGCAAGAATAATGTTATTAAGCCAAGTTTAAGTTCATACATACCAAATGTGCAACGGCACTAAACTGTTCGGGTAAAACCTTGAGAAGTTTCTGTTTGGTTGGTTCATATACACCGAAAAATAAAGCTGAAGCACTGCACATGAAGCAAAAAAATAATTATTCATCTGAAATAAGAGTCATAAGTGCTTTCATCTGAATGCTTACGGTAAGACACCAGCAAGGTTTCCACCAAGACCAGAGTATAGACCTTTCCATATTATCTTTCCTCCATCTCGAGCTACCTAAACATAACCAACCAACACAAGACAATTGCCGTAAGTCAAACATTTAGCTTCTCCATGTAAGTAAAGAAGCATTATGAACAAATCTAGACCATAGTGGTACCAAGGAGCTTATGTTGGATCCATAACAAAAAATTGATTTTAGGAGAAACATAACTTGTACTCGGGTTTTGATGGTATCAATTGGGTACAGAGCAGCTTCCACAACAAGACCAGCTATTCCTCCTGCTATCAGACTCTCTGCAAAACAACAACATAAAATCTTTTTACTCTTCAGCGCATTGCGGAAAAACAATATTGGTATTTCTATAAACATGTGTCTTGCAAAACCATACCATAGAGGACACGGAAGAAATGGCAAGGATCATCTTGTTTAACACAGATTGTGCCACAGCCACTGATCTGCTTCTTGATAGGATGATTGGTATTCTTGAATGCCAATACATCTACGAAGTAACATAAAACATTGACCCAATCAATACAAGTTTCAGAACAGCAATGTAAACCAAATGAAAGCACAAATCTTTAAACTGGTGAGCTAAAAGTTTACACCTTTTTAACTCGAAAACCTAAAACTACGGTGACTGAATCGAATCAAGAGTATGGGGAGATTCGCGTGACAGTGGTTAATTACAAGGGGGAGATTTTACCAGGGAGAGTTGTCTCAGATTCATCTCCGCTACTGGAAACAATGGAACGATCCATCTAAAACTATTAGAAGAATTAGAAAAATTAAATTTTTAGGTGAAAAAGATCATCTTCTGTAGCAGATAATCAAACGTAAGAAGATGAGGAAGATCTAACCAAAATGTTGAGAGTGAGAGCAACAAAAATCCAGAGAGGATTTCATCATAAACCCTCATACAAAAACCGGAACCGGAGCGACTGGTTCGACCGGTAAATCAACACCTTTTTAGATTGTCTTCATACGAACGTAACAGAGAGAGAGAGTGTGTGTGTACTTCTGAGTTCTGACAAAGACATATCTCGAATTTAATCTTCACATCGTGATAATCGTACCAACAATTTTCTTGGTCCGTGTTCTGGATTTTAGTTAGTCTTCTTCAGAGAGGTTATCTACAATTCTCTTGGTAAGTTTCTTCTTGGCATTTCTTTTCTTCTTAAGTTCCGCTTCGAAATTCATCATGCATATGCAGTGGAACCGAGACTTGTCGTTTTCTCTACGAATTGTTTGAAATCTAGTCTCAAATTGCTATGAACCTTTTGAGAAAAGATTCTACAGACCAGAGAACTCGATTTCTGTTAGTTTAACTGAAAAGAAAAACAGAGTAATTTCCATTTCTCCGAATCTTGGTATGTATCATTTGTTCTAATTCACCAGAAAGTGAAGAACTTTATCAGATACTGGGATCCATTTTGCAATGCAATTAGCGTTTGTAACTAATCGTAATTCCTTTTTTATCCCTTTATATTTAGGGTTTTAGGCTTTAAGACACGATCCTAAATTTCAGCTGTAAATAAAATAACACATAGAATTATCCATTTGACGGCTTTATATTAAGATTCGGGTTCAATTTAAATTCAACCTCTTCTTTTCTTACTTCTTCTTCTTCATTTACCATCCAAAATGTTTCGTAAAGCAGAGAGCTTTTGTCGTACCATCTTACAGAAACCACAGCAGTTTCGAGGAAGACAGAGAAAAGAAATGGGGATAGGAGTGTTGGGTTTGATCCCAGTTTCATCACCAGACAGTCTTAAGAAAGTACTTCAAACGCTGTCGGGAAAATGGGGAGACGTGGTGGAAGATCTCGAGAGTCTTCAAGTGAAACCCATGAAAGGCGCAATGACTAACGAAGTCTTCATGGTGAATTGGCCCACAAAGGAAAACAATTTTCACCACAGGAAGCTTCTCGTTCGAGTTTATGGCGAAGGAGTTGATCTGTTCTTCAACAGGAAAGACGAGATTCGTACTTTCGAAGTACTCTCTCGATACGGTCACGGTCCTAGACTCCTTGGCCGGTTCGCTGGCGGTAGAATCGAGGAGTTTATCAATGCCCGGGTATGTTCCTCTTGATTCCGGTTTACTTGCACAATAATCCACCAAACCGATTGTTACTCCAAGCAATGTCAGTGTGTAGGTCTGAATTTGACTTTGAAAAGATAGTGTTATGACCATTTGATTGAGTTTTGTCTATGTGATTTTGGATTTTGAGTTCAATGTTGAACCGGAAAGTACCAAGAGATGCATGCCCGGTTTAGCCGTGTGCCGACACCGATTGAGATGCTCTTGATAGATAGTTTATGATTCTTCACTAGGTTTTGGGTTTTTGTCTATCTGAATTGCATTTTACGGCTTTTGAACAGACTTTAGCGGCGGCGGATCTACGTGAACCGGAAGTATCAGCTCTTGTTGCGGCTAAGCTAAGAGACTTTCATGGTATTAACGTTCCTGGTGATAGAAATGTGCTCCTTTGGGATAGGATGAGGTAAGTGATCTTTCTTCATAATATGAACCATTTAAGTGGTCAAACCAATAACAGAATCTTGAAATTATATGACAGGAATTGGCTTGGACAAGCTAAGAGTCTGTGTACACCTGAAGATTCAGAAGAGTTTGGTCTAGACAACATTGAAGCTGAGATAAACTTGCTGCAACATGAGTGTAAGCAGCATGAGATTGGGTTCTGTCACAACGATTTGCAGTATGGTAACATCATGATTGATGAAGACACCAATGCCATTACTATCATTGTAAGCTTCTCATTACCCCTTTTTTCTCAAAATGTCGAATGTATCAACCACATGGACTAACATGAGAATCTTTAACAGGACTACGAGTACGCTAGTTATAACCCTGTTGCATACGACATAGCCAATCACTTCTGTGAAATGGCGGCAAATTACCATTCTGACACTCCCCATATCTTAGACTACACTCTATACCCAGGTACTCACTGGTTAAACCCGGTTTTGGGGATCATCGACAAGTCGAGAAGTAGCTTCTGAGTGGTTCTGACTGACTGGTTTTGGGAATTGTAGGAGAAGAGGAACGGAGGAGATTCATCCATAGCTATCTCAGCTCTTCAGGTCAGATTTCTCTAAGGAATCATAGTTCCTTCTTCTTCTTCTTAGTCATAACAAACGTCTCATGGACCAATACGCCTTCTTATTTTCTTAGGCGACGAAGCAAGAGAAGAAGACATTATACAGCTTTTGGATGATGCTGAGAAGTACACATTGGCAAGCCATCTCTTCTGGGGCTTATGGGGAATCATCTCTGTAAGATCTCTTTTCCTTTTTTTCCATTCTAAATTATAATGAAACAGAGCCATCTGAGAAACTTGGAAGTGTTCTGAAATGTGGATGTAATTTTGCAGGGATATGTGAACAAGATTGAGTTTGATTACGCTGAGTACTCAAGACAGAGATTCAGACAGTACTGGCTTCGAAAACCTCAGCTCTTATCATCTAAATCCTCTCAAATGTAGATTTACTTCTTGATTTGTGTAAAGGTCTAACCAAATCTAAAATCCATGCTAATAGAAAAATCAAGCCTTATTGATAAAAAAATCTCAGAAATCCAAAAGCTGAATGTTTCCAAATGCTAAGAATTATCCAAATTAAACTAAATCTGTACAAGAAATCAAAACCTGCAAACAAATTCTCAACCAGTTTGACCTAAATGAAAGAAACAAGAAGAAAGAAAACAATCTGAATCACCATTGGTTATGAAGAAGGCTTCATAAGAGGCTGAATGCGACGATCCATCTAAAATTATTAGAAGAATTAGAAAAATTAAATTTTTAGGTGAAGAAGATAATCTTCAGTAGCAGATAATCAAACGAAAGAATATCTAACCAAAATGTTGACACTTTCAGTTTTTGTTTCTTCTGTCTGAAAAAGGCTTTTGAAATGTAAAAATAAAAAAAAATAAAGATTGTATATTCCATATAATACGGATTCGTACAATGTAGATTAAGGTTATACAAAGCTTATCAACGACAACAATAAAGATTTTTGATCCGTTGAGGTTTTAGGAGATTCTCGAATTTCTCTGCCATTTCTTTGTCTGTGAGAATTGTGCCTTGTGGTGTAAGAAAGGCCGTACGTTGAAACGGTGGACACCAGATTCCACTTTTCTGGTTATCGAACTGAAACTCAGACACATCAATGTTCTTCTGAAGAAGTTTGTCTGAAACTGGTTTTGGTACGTTTTGAGTGAAAACAGAGGAAGAGGATGAAGACGAAGAAGATTCTGTCATTCTGACATAAAGACAAAATTCAAATAATTTTTTTCAACAAACAAACACAGGAAGACAAAATTCAAATAATTTTTTTCAACAAACAAACACAGGAAGACAAAATTGAAAGAAATTTGAATATTTTTATTGGAAATTTTCATGAGGAAAGGCTTGATGGAGACTTTATGCTAATCAAGTATAAATGTATAATCAGAAATGACAAAATAATGGAGGATGAGTGGAGAGGAGCACATAACATTTGTCTGTTATTCTTTCATCCTCTCGTTTTTCTAACACATAACAGATGCGTTTTTGGATTACATATATTACAAATCAATAAACTTGATAACCTACCGAATAAAATTAACATTCTTTCTAATGTACAAACGCTCCACAACCATCCAACACTCTGCCAACCTACTCTTCTCTACATCTCTTAATCAATCTCCTACATAAAAACTTGAATAAGGCAATAAATGAGGTGTTGATAGTTATTACTGAATTTTGAGGTTTATTCAGTTACCGCAGTAAATATTTTGTTTTCCTTTTTAAAATGAACACCCATAAAAAATTCATTAAATGAGTTAACATTTATGCCTTCACACACAAAATTACACATATTATCCTCTTTGGTTTAGGAATTAGCGATTATAATGGAAGAACCCATTATTTTATATTATCTGCTTAGTTTACTAATAAAAAAAGGTGGTCAACACCTAAATTGTTTGAGTATTTTAAAGATATTCAACTAATGCAAACCTCTTTTTAAGATTGGTTCCAATTAGGCTTGGGGATTCGGGTTTCAAGCGGGGTTTTCGATTTTCAAAGATAAAAAATCGATTGAGTATTTTTAATTTTCGGTTTGTTTTGGTTCAGGTTTTTGCAGATACATTTCAGTTTTCAGGTTGTACATGAAACCCAAACTGTTTTTGGTTCCGTTAAAATTCGAGTTTTTCTCTAAGTTTTTTAGGGTTTTTTTTATAAAAAAATCGGGTTTAAAGATATATGAAACAATCAGGTATTTTAAATTTCAGTTTGTTTTGGTTCAGGTTTTTGCAGATACAGGTCAGTTTTCAGGTTGTACATGAAACCCAAACTGTTTTTGGTTGGGTTAAAATTCGAGTTTTTCTCTAAGTTTTTAAGGGTTTTTTTTCAAAGAAAATCGGATTTAGAGATATATGAAACAATCAGGTATTTTAAAATTTTGATTTGGTTCAGTTCAAGGTTTTTTGGGTTGGGGTTCGGATAAAAGTCACAAGTCTAGTTTCGATACTATGTGTAGGCCTAATATTAATCATCTCTAGTTCTTAATTTAACAAATTAACCATGTGGATAAGCAAAAAAAAAAAGGAGAAGAAAAAGTAAAGAAAGATATATGAAATTCGAGTTTTTCTCTAAGTTTTTAAGATTTTTGTCAAAAAAGATGGATTTAAAGATATATGAAACAATTAGGTATTTTAAAATTTTGATTTGGTTCAGTTCAATGTTTTTTGGGTTGGGGTTCGATAAAAGTCACAAGTCTAGTTTCGACTATGTCTAGGCCTAATATTAATCATCTCTAATTCTTAATTTAACAAATTAACCATGTGGATAAGCAAAACAAAAAAAGGGAGAAGAAAAAGTAAAGAAAGAAGAGAGCGAGTAAATAAGTTAGAGCATACAAGCAAACAAGGGTTGCAAGCAACAAGAAAATCAAAAAGGTCAATCAAGCAAAACACAATAAAAGTTTTATTATAAAACAATGGAAAAAGCAAATAATCAAAGAAGGAAGCAAGTAAACAAGTTAAGCATGTTCGCAAGCAAACAAGCAATTGAATAAGCAAAGGAAGAAATTAAGCAATTAAATTAGCAATGAGAGAAACAAACAAGCAAAGTAAGCAATGAGAGAAACAAGCAAGCAAGGTAAATAGTTAAATAAGTAAAAGAAAAAGATTAAGCTATTAAATTAACAGTGAGAGAATCAAGCAAGCAAAATAAGCAACGAAAGAAATAAGCAAGCAAAATAAGCAACAAAAGAAATAAGCAAGCAATTAAATAAGCAAAAAAGAAACTATGCAATTAAATTAGCAAGCAGAGAAACAAAAGCAAGCAAAGCAATTAAATAAGCAAGAGAACAATTTAAGCAACTAAATTAGCAATGAAAGACACAAACAAACAAAGTAAGCAATTAAATAAGCAATAAAAGAAACAAGCAAGCAATGTAAGCAATTAAATAAGCAAAATAAGAAATTTAGTAATTAAATTACCAATGAGAGAAACAAACAATTAAAGTAAGCAATAAAATAAGCAATGAGCGAAACAAGCAAGCAAGGGAACCAATTAAGCAATTAATTTAGCAACGAGATAAATAAGCAAGTAATTAAAATAAGCAATGAAAAAACATGCAAGCAATGTAAGCAATTAAATTAGCAACGAGAGAAACAAACAAGCAAAGTAAGCAATTAAATAAGCAATAAGAGAAACAAGCAAGCAAAGTAAGTAGTTAAATAACCAAGAGAAAGTAAAAAAAAAAAAGCAATTAAACTAGCAATAAAAGAAACAAGCAAGCAAAGTAAGCAATTAAATAAGCAAACGAATACATTAAGCAATTGAATAAGCAAAAGAAGAAATCAAGCAATTAGAGAAACAAGCAAGCAAGAGAAGAATTAAGTAAACAGATTAACCAATTAAGGAAAGAAGAAAGCAGAAATGCATGTGTACATGTACGCATGAATGTATGAATTTTTTTCAAGAGGGCAACGAAATTTTTTACCGAAATTTGAGAGGTATTTTCAATAGGTAATGTCTGCTTCTTCGAACTCCAAGCTCAAGGAAACACTAGGTTTCACTTAGCTACCTTAAATGCCATTTTAAACCACTAGGTAAGGTCTGCTTTATCGCATGACCACATAGACTATATAATCTTTCTACTGCATAAGAAGAATAGTGAAAGTAACTTCAAAGTTGAAACTATAAAAGCAATATTGAAAGACTAACCAGGAAACAAGGATTGAAGATACTTGGGAGAAGGAGAAGGAGTAAACAAGAAGAAAGACGCCACAGCTTTTAGAGCTCCATTGCTATAAACCTCTGTCTCAGCAGCAACCTTGAGATCGTATACCTGTTAAGATATGGGTACTTTTCGATATTAGAGAAGGTAAGCGTACTTGGATTAAAAAAAAGCTTTGTTTTCTTCTCTTGCCTGCTTCTGGGACCGTTGCTGAGTAGCTTTCTTGTCTAAAATAGTCTTCTGTCGAACCTCTTAGAAGAGAAAAATCATCCAGTATGCATGTCTTGCTGCTATTCTCCATGGAAATCTTTATAATCTTCAAACCCTGTCCCAACTGAACCTAACATGATCCCACAAAGAAATATTTAAGCTAACATAACCTGTCATGGATGCAAACTGCAGAGAATAGATTGAGGTTTTAAACTTCTCTGTCGACCTTACACACTCATTCAATCAGAACAATATTCAGCGTATAAAACTGACTTCCATAACAAGGTCTCAAACCCTGAACAAGTAGAAACATTTAGATACAAACGGGATCAATTTCTGTATAACTCATGGTACTATAGAGTTAGCTACTGAATTAAAAGAAAAGTAAAGAGAGAAGAATGGTCACAATTCACAAACATTGATCCTTGTAAAGTTTTGTGAGGCTGGTTTCGCTAAACCATTGTTCCACATACTCAAAAGGGTTGGTTCATGTGGTAGCGACGTTAATGATAGACAAAGTGAGACGGTTACTTAGCAAATACGTAAGAATGTTAAGGATAGAAAGCAAGGAAGTTAACAAAAAAAGTTGAGTAGTGAAGGAAACAAGACAGAATGTAAGAAAATAAGTAATGAAATATGAAACTAATTAGGAAATCAACAAGAAGATACAGCAGCAAGTACGTAATATGCTTATTACATTAAGGGAGCATGAAACTAATAAGGAAATCAACAAGAAGATACAGCAGCAAGTAAGTAAGCTTATTAAATTAAGGAAGCATGAAACTAATAAGGAAATCAACAAGAAGATACACAAGCAAGTAAGTACAAGCAAGTAAGTAAGCTTATTGAATTAAGGAAGCAAACAAGCACACAAGGAAGCAGGTAATTAAATTAAGCACTGAAGCATGAAACTAACAAGGAAATCAACAAGAAGATACAGTAGCAAGTAAGTAAGCTTATTAAATTAAGGAAGCAAACAAGCACACAAGGAAGAGTAAAGCAAACCAAGGAAGCTGATAATTAAGCTAAGCATGATACTAATAAGGAA